TAATAAATTAATAAACTAATTTATAATTCCTAATAGTAAATTGATATTTATTAATAATTTAAGAAGCATATATATATATATATATATATATTATAACATAAGTACTTTTTTATATATGTAATAGTATCGGGCCGGGTTTATTTGAGAAAGCTTGACCTTGAGCCCATGGGCCTGAAATTTTGTCCAAGCTTGAAAATAACGAGTCAGACTGGGCCAAGCCATCGGGCTACCTGACCCATGAATAGGTCTAATTGTATATATAAACAATTGCGTACATCAAAAATCGTATGAAATAAAAATTTAAACATCTTTTCAATTTCTTTTTTTCAATGGAGCTCTCATAGCTTGGCCTAAGGCTCGACCCATGAACCAACCCGACCCATGATACGGCATGGGCCCGTGCGAGCTTGGGTTGTGGGCCATGCCGAACTGATCCTCAAATTATCCCAGGGGAGGGAGGCACGACCCAGGATGCCCCGTGGGTAAACTTGTTCATGGGTCGATTAGCCCGATGGCCCGACCCACACCCCGGTTGGGCTTGGTCATGTAATTAGGCTCGCGGGCATGACCTCGGGATTTGTCAAAAAAGCCCGGCCCGACTCAACTCAGCATTATATATTGCGAGCTTGGGTCATGGGCCATGCCGAACTGACCCTCAAATTATCCCAGGGGAGGGAGGCATGACCCAGGATGCCCCATGGGTAAACTTGTTCATGGGTCGGGTAGCCCGATGGCCCGGCCCACACCCCGGTTGGGCTTGGTCATGTAATTAGGCCCGCGGGCATGACCTCGGGATTTGTTAAAAAAGCCCGGCCCGGCTCGACTCAGCATTATATATTTTATAAAATATATAATATGTATTTTATGTATTATATAAAATATTTATTAAAATATATATTTATAATTTAATATATACATTTTTTATTCTTTTCTTTAGAATTTCTCTCTCTCTCTCTCTCTTTCTCTCTCTCTATTTAGCCGCTTTAGCAATAGTAACAGTATGGGCTAAATTTCGGGCTCGGGCCCAAGCCCGGGCTTTAGGCTTTTTATGAGGGCTGGGCTCAGGCCCAAGTTGTAGGCCCGATGGTCGGGCCGGGCTCGGACTCGGGCCTTAGAAAAATTTGTTAATACAGAGTGAAAGTCCGACCCGGCCTGGCCCATGAATAGGTCTACCCGTGGGCCAGTACGACACAACCCATACTTTGTGCGGGCCACATGTGAGTCGTGTCGTGCCAGCCTAGTACAACCCGATTTACACCTCTACTTGAAACCGCCCAATACTGGGGACGGGGCGGGAAAATTCTAGGATTCCCCATCCTTGATGAGGAGTGGGGTGCCTTGCCCTTAAACTTGCCTGACATTAGGGAGTGGTTGCCTTGCCCTGAACTCGCCTGACACACAGGGATAGGGCGGGAATGGAGTAGAGTGTCTTGACCATGGGGCAGGGACAGGGATGGGGTGCCCTGCCCTAAACCCACTCCGTTATAATTCCTATATAATTGTTAATTATTAGTGAAATTAATAAAAATATTAGCTTTTATAATTATTTTTATTTATTTAAAGTTAATCAAAATTTTATTTTAAAATAATAAGAATAATAATAATAATTATTAAAATTACTACAAATTATTAATAAAACTAAGTTTATTAAAAAATATTTATTCATATTAAATTAACAATAATTATTTTTTATAAATCAACATTAAATAAAAAATACAATTATTAAAATTTTAAATATTAATAATAACTTTAAATATTTTAGTTAATTTTGATTATTAATTTAATATTAATTAATTTATTAAATCTTTTAAATTTCCCAGCCCCATCGCCCGGATCCTCGCTAGTTTATCTATAAAAAGCTTTCCTAATCAGTTTTTTCCGAGATCATACTTTTACCATATTGATCGTGCAATAGGAGGCTGTATGGGTCACACGGTGTAATTTCAAGTCATTTAGGTATTACTTTATGATTTTATCCTAACGTAGTAGTCATATGGAATCATTTTCTCCTTGGTTCCCTGTAGGTAGAGACTTAAGAGGTAACTTATGGCTACAGGGGCGAACCCGATTTGCCCACCTGAGAAATGTTAATATTGGTTTTTTTTCTTTTATTATTATTATTTTTTTCAGACTGAGTGAGAGGTGTTGGCTTTCTGGGCTTCAAGCTTCGCTTGAGCTCTCTCTCCCCCTCTCCTCTAGTTGAGACCGAGAGAAACAAGCTCAGAGCGGGAAAAATTGCATATTTGAAGTGCTCACACCACTGTCCAAGACGGCTCCTTGTAACGGTAGTTGTAGCAAGCTGGGGAGAGCTGCAGAGCTAATGGCAATGGGGGTTTCCACTCAGAGTGGCCCTTTGAAGCCCTGCTCATCTTCTCCCTTCTGGTCATCTCCGTCTTGTCGCCGCTCGGCTTCGATGACTTCTTCTCCTCACGCCTGCTCCGGTTCCAGTAAAAGTTTCCAAAGGTTTGGATTCTTCATCGTTTCAGACTTAATTTTTATGACTTTTCGGCTCTCTCTCTCTCTCGCATTTTGTGATTCACGTTTTTTAGGTGGGTTTCACGGACTTTCCTAGGAAAATTGCAGTTCAACTGTAGAAAGACCTATTCTTTTTCGATTCCCTTTTTTTCCCCTGGTGTTTTCTTTTTTCTGCGTAGGTAGGTAGGATGACATGTGAAAGTTCCTCTCCGCCCTCTCTCCTCCACACTCTCTATTCCATGTTCAGTTCGTGGGTTTTACACGAGAATGCCTGAAAGTTGTGTCTGGTTCATAAAAACTAGTATTCTTATAGAGCCACACGGCCTGTTATAGGTGCTCAGACTTCTCACGGTAAAGGAAATAATAAACGATTTTGTAAGTGTTGCACTGGTAGTAAATAATGAAGGGATGGGACCGTGGTCATCAAAAGAAGTATTGAGTAGCTTGTGGGCTGCTAGTCTTCGTCACGTGTGAATATTTTTCCCCTCATTTTTTAAGGAAGTCAGTATTGCGGTTAAATTCCTTCCCACTTCCTCCTAACTCGTTAGACGTTGTACAGAGAGATAGGGACCTAATTGCATACTAAAGATTGTATTATTTTTGATTATTATAAGTTTTGTCTTATAATGGAATTTCAGTGGACAGTGCTATTTCTTTCTTTCATTTTTTTCTTCTTTCCTTTTTGTCTTAATTTCCTTGTGTGTAAATAAACAGTTGAAAAGCCAGGGTTGCTTGCAGATGACCCCAATGACATTGTGACACCTGGCACATCATGCCAACTAAGTGCAGCCTCTTGACAGCTAGACAGCTCGAGCTCGCTTCAGGCAGCTCGCCATCATGCAACTCGCCACAGGCAGCTCGCCACCATGGAGCCCTCACAGGCAGCTCGCCACTAGGTAGCTCGCTACAGGCAGCTCGCCATCATGTAGCCTGGCACCTCAGAACAATTAGGCGACACCCGGAACCACTTTCACAACAACTTGCCTTTGCTAAGTTGATGGTGTCCCACCAGGCGCGGCTTGACACAGGCACGAGCTGGCAGCCTGGCCCTGGCGTGACCTGGCCCTAGCACGAGCTGGCAGCCTGGCCCTGGCATGACCTGGCCCTAGCACGAGATGGCAGCCTGGCCTTGGCGCGACCTTGGCACGAGCTGGCAGCCTGGCCCTGGCACGAGCTGGCGGCCTGGCCCAGGCGCGACCTCGCGGCCTGACCCAGGCACCGACCTGGTAGCCTGACACAGGCGCTAACCTGACAACCTCGAGGAACACACCTCTGTACCCCGCATTTTATGGGATTGTGACTTCTAACGGCTATATTTGCTCACCCACTCCCCGAGTCAGGCAGAAATGGGCAACCTTACCAGTTGGTGGCTTTATCCCCACTTAACACGAAAGCAGGTCCCATCACAGCGGGAATCTAGGAACTGCTCCACCTAACCCATGAGGACTCCAGTATATATAGACCTCACCCCCCAGAGGCAAAAGGGGGGTGGAAAAAGGATGGGTAACCTCTGCTCTCTAGCTCTCTCATTCTCTAATATCATTCTCAGCTCTCCACTAAGTGCTAACTTAGCCATCTGAGAGACCTCGCCGGGTAAACACCCCCGGGTTCTCTGATTTAGTTCTCGCAGGTCCCTTAGCTCCCACCACTTACAAAGATGAGCAAATCACCTCTAGGCAGCTCATCAAGGTAGCTCACCTCCAAGCAGCTCATCAAGGTAGCTCACCTCCAAGCAGCTCATCAANAGGTCCCATCACAGCGGGAATCCAGGAACTGCTCCACCTAACCCACGAGGACTCCAGTATATAAAGACCTCACCCCCCAGAGGCAAAGAAGAGGCGAAAAAAGGATGGGTAACCTTTGCTCTCTAGCTCTCTCATTCTCTAATATCATTCTCAGCTCTCCACTAAGTGCTAACTTAGCCATCGGAGTGACCTCACCGGGTAGCCACCCCCGAGTTCTCTGATTTAGTTCTCGCAGGTCCCTCAACTCCCGTCGCTTACAAAGATGAGCAAATCACCTCTTGCAGGGAGCAGTTGGGTTGCACTACGCCAGGGAGCTCCACTTCAGCCCCTGAGTCACAGGCCACTTGGGAGCAGGCGAGTTGACGAGGTACTTAGCCAAAAAAACGATACGTGACCGGAAACGGTTACATCATTTGGCACCGTCAGTGGGAACACACTACCAAAAGCTAAGTTCTCATCCTACAAAAAGCTAAGTTCTTATCTTACAAAAAGCTAAGTCCTCTTCTCCCAGAAAGCTAAGTCCTCATCTTTTTAGGAATTGAAGCTCTCGCTTTATGGTTTCCATTTTTTATGAACTCAAAGACTGTACAGGGAGCTAACAGACTAAGTAGCTCTAAGACGCCCACCCGGCGGCCTGGCAGCCTGGTGCGACCTGGCACGGGCGCCGACATGGCGGCTTGGCACGGGCGCGAACTTACGAACTGAAAAGGCACCAGCCTCAGAAACAAGTAAGCAAATTCTAGCTCTCAGATTGTGATTTCTAGCTTGCAGTCTACTATGTGAGTACTAACTTAGTCATCGGAGTGACCTTACCGGGGTAGTCACCCCGGGTCCTCGGACATTTAGTTCCTTGCAGGTCTTTAAAGAGCACCGAAGCTCATCAATCCAGCTCGGCACCTGGTCAGCCCAGCGCCTCACAGGCAGCTTGGCACCTCACAGGCAGAGACCTCGGCGCTACAATACTGCTGAAAGACCCAGTCACCTCTACGGCATGGGCAAAGTTCAGGAGTGGACTACGAGTCGCTCCCTGAAGCCTAAGGGCCACAATACTGCTGAAAGACCCAGTCGCCTCTACGACATGGGCAAAGTTCAGGAGTGGACTATGAGTCGCTCCCCGAAGCCTAAGGGCCACATTACTGCTTAAAGACCTAGCCGCCTCGTTGGCATGGGCGAAGTTCAGGAGTGGACTACGAGTCGCTCCCAAAGCCTACGGGCCACACTACTGTTGAAAGACCCAGTCGCCTCTACAACATGGGCAACACTACTGCTGAAAGACCCAGTCGCCTCTACGTCATGGGCAACACTACTGCTGAAAAACCCAGTCGCCTCTGCGGCATGGACAACACTACTGCTGAAAGACCTAGTCGCCTCTACGGCATGGGCAACACTACTGCTGAAAGACCTAGTTGCCTCTTCGGCATGGGCAAAGTTCAGGAGCGGACTACAAGTCGCTCTCAAAGCCTAAAGGCCACAATATTGCACAAGACCCAACCGCCTCGTCGGCATGGGCAAAGTCAAGGTGAGTGGACTACAAGTTGCTCCCAGAATCTAAGGGCTAAAGTACCGAACTGGCAGAAACCTCGGCGCCTCACGGGCAACTCTCTTCCAAGCAGCTCCCAGAGTCTAAGAAACTGAATCAACGCTTACAAGCTCGTCGAATTACGGGCCAAAAGGAGAAATCTACTCCCTTCACTGAGTTACTTTCAGCTCGGGAGTGGGGGGCAAATGATGAGGGCGGATTTGGCCCTCCAATGACATTGTGACACCTGGCACATCATACCAACTAAGTGCAGCTTCTTGACAGTTAGACAACTCGAGCTCGCCTCAGGCAGTTCGCCACTAGGCAGCTCGCCATCATGCAACTCGCCACAGGCAGCTCGCCACCATGCAACCCTTACAAGCGGCTCGCCACAGGCAGCTCGCTACAGGCAGCTCGCTACAGGCAGCTTGCCACAGGCAGCTCGCTACAGGCAGCTCGCCATCATGTAGCATGGAACCTCAGAACAACTAGGCAACACCTGGGACCACTTTGACAACAACTTGCCTTTGCTAAGTTGGTGGTGTCCCACCAGGTGCGGCCTGGCACAGGCACGACCTGGAAGCCTGGCCCTGGTGCGACTTGGCTCTAGCACGAGCTGGCAGCCTGGCCATTGGCGCGACCTGGCCCTGGCATGAGTTGGCGGCCTGGCCCAGGTGCGACCTGGCGCCCTAGCCCAGGCACCGACCTGGCGGCCTGACACAGGCGCCAACCTGACAACCCCGAGGAGCTCACCACCATACCTCGCATTTTACGGGATTGCGACTTGTAACAGTTATATTAGCTCACCCACTCGCTGAGTCAGGTGGAAATGGGCAACCTTACCAGTTGGTGGCTTTATCCCCACCTAACACGAAAGCAGGTCCCATCACAACGGGAATCCGGGAACTGCTCCACCTAACCCATGAGTACTCCAGTATATAAAGACCTCACCCCCCAGAGGCAAAGAAGAGGCGAAAAAAGGATGGGTAACCTCTGCTCTCTAGCTCCCTCATTCTCTAATATCATTCTCAGCTCTCCACTAAGTGCTAACTTAGCCATCGGAGTGACCTCACCGGGTAGCCACCCCCGGGTTCTCTGATTTAGTTTTCGCAGGTTCCTCAGCTCCCGCCGCTTACATAGATGAGCAGATCACCTCCTGCAGGGAGTAGCTGGGTTGCACTACGCTAGGGAGCTCCACTTCAGCCCCCGAGTCACAGGCCACTTGGGAGCAGACGAGCTGACGAGGTACTTAGCCAAAAAAATGATACGTGACCGGAAACGGTTACATCAGGAGGCATGGGATTAAACCTGCAGAATTTCAGGCTCTCCGGTCTCCACGGTATGGCCATTGGGCCTCACATTTAGGGGTGTCAATTGGACTGGATTTGGTCCAATCCAATCCAATCCAATGAATATTTTGGACCGGTCCAATTCAATGGACTGCCCAATCTGTTTTAATTAGATTAATTCTAACCCAAATCTGGTCCATTGACACCTATATTCCTATCTTCTATCAATGGACCAGATATTGGCTCAATCCAACCCAATCCAATATAAATTCATTACGGATGGACCTGGTCCAATCCAATCCAATAAATACTTTGGACCATTAAGTCTGGACTGGTGGTCCAATTCAATACATCTTGTTGGTCCGGTCCGTCCAATCCTTCCAAATTGATTTTGATTTGGATGGGATCCAATATAAAACTGGTCCATTGACACCCCTACTCACATTCATCCTGCTTTGCCCCACCTTTGATTCCCCTGTAATGTGTAGTATGTATTACCCAAAGAAAAAAAGAAAAGAAAAGCCAGGTGTGCTTTATGATTGAACTACATGTATTGAGAACTATGATATCTACAATGCAAGATAGAAACTTTCATGTTACAACTTACAAGGAACTTGCAGATGCTGGAAGTGGCCATAAAGTGGTTAACAGGAAAATTAAACTGGAGGAGGATGCACTTTTTTTTTCCCAACAGAACAATTTTTGGTTGTAGACTAGATTAGGGATAGCCATGAAGTGAGGCATTATTTTAATCCAAATATCTATGTAGGAAGTTGGGGCTAAAAAGGTGAAGATAGTAATTCACATAGGAAATGAGTTGCGAGTTTCATGAACTTGCTAAAATTGTGATCATGAGTACTATAATGAGAGGCCAGGTAGATGACTATTCTCCTTTTTTGTTTGAACAGTGAAAATATGAACCTGAGTTATAAAATCTTAGGAAGCTGGTGCAATTTGGTGTTGTGCCTTACAACTGTTTCTTTCTTCTTTTGTTTTTCTTTTTTCATTTTTTTGTGTGTGCTAGGAAGTTTGTAGTTGGTACCATTTGGTTTTTTGTTTTACAGCTATTTCTTATAGCTTACATGAAGATTCTTTTTTCTTATGTTTCTTTTTTAGTGTTTGTGTTTTTTTGGGATTCGTTTGATGCTTGTATGTGCATAATCCTTTTACCACACAAAAAATAGTGTTCCTTTCTTATCTTGGTGGTGGTTGTGTAATAATTTCTACATGACAAGTATCCCAGCTGCTATTTTAAGAGAAAATATAAGTATTATATTATATTGCAAGTTATAAAATGAGATCATGTACAACAAGATGCTGTACTCAAAACCCTGATTCACAAAAAAGATTTCCTTGTACAAAAAAAGAAGTAAGGTTTACATTTTAATAGTTTATGTGTAGTCAGCCATGAAAACATCTTCCCCAATACCTTTTGAAAAACTGTATCAGCAGTGCTGCTTTTTTTTTTTTGCAAGATGCTGTACAAAAAAAGAAGTATCCCAGCTGGCAGCTGCTAGATAGAGAGTTTTGCTACATATAAGTTGGAGTTTGATGAAAAAAGTAGGAAATCATGGAGGGAGACTAGTAAGAGAATAGAAAGGGGCATTATCTGCTAAAAAAAGTTAAAGTAAAATAATGCCTTTTTTTTTAGGACACAGGCAATCTATTATTTCAGAAAGCATAATTTAGGTTTTAGTTATTAAAAGTTTAAAACTCCATTACTCCTCTTTAGTTCTTCCAAACTATACCACTAGTCTTCTTGCCTCCATTGGAGTTCTACAAATTCTATACTATTTATATATAGCTAGTGAGGAGTGACCCCTCGGGGGGACATTTAGGTGTGTATTTCAATCTTTATATCTGATATTTAAAATTTTCTTTTGGATGGCAGGAAGGAATTTCACTCTGTTCAATATGAGAATGTTTGCAATTGCAATTTCACTGGTAGTTTTATTCAATTTAAACGAGGTTTGAGTAATTCAACTGGATCAGTCATTACAAAGGATGGTGCATGTGAAAGAAAACGTTGCTGCCCATATCCATATTATTGTTGGAGACTTGAAGTGCGAACACAAATGAGTCACTCTCCTACTTCATCAGCTCGAATGTTCCCTTACTACTCAAATCAGATTGATTCTGAACGAAAGCTTCAAGCAGTGAGGTTAGTTAACATGAGAAATTCTGAGGAAGAAGAGAAACAGACTCCTAGACATCATGGACCACCATTAGAGGATGTTGATGTTAGTCCACCTTGTCAGTCCAGTGATTATAAGACTTCTAATTATAGGGCTACTGAAAATATGATTTCCAGAAACTCTAGCCTTGATATAGATTCATGGCTTGAAGAAAGAAGAAGACTGAGAGAGATAAGATCAGAAGTTCGCAGAAGTATTGAACTTGGAACTTTTAATGATGGAGGTTCCTGTGGGAATTTTGACTCGCATCCAGATCCCTTCCATGGTTTGAGGTTCGATAATATTAATGGAAAGAAGTCTTTGCAATGTTCATTTAACCAAGAGAACATGGGTTTTGACTTTGATAATGTACAAGCTTGTAAGCCACCATATAAACCAAGTGATAGGGAAACATGTACTGTAAAGTGTCAATGCAGGGTAACCATGAAATCTAGCAGTGCTTCACATGTGACAACTCAACATGAATCGAGAAGCTGCAACAATGTTGCTATTAATAATGCTTGCAATCTCACAGTCAATAAACTGGCTCAAGTTAGTTTGTATTCGACGCAAATTGCAAGGGACCAGGCCCAGCTTAGTGAGTCACTCCCTCTGAAGCCTTTTGAGGAAAATGAAGGGCAACTTAACAAATTGGATGGACTGGGAATGGGAACCAATGATATAACTGAAAGGATCCCATCAAATAGCAGATATTCTACCAATGCTGAAGAATCTGTTGAAACCTACACTATATCTATAAATCCAAGAGGAGAATATGTTTTTCACCAGCCAGAGTATCATGAGATGCTTAGTCACATCTATAAAAAAGTTCTTGTTGTTGATAATATTGCAGTTGCAAAGGAAATTGTCAGAATGCTTACAACACGGTATAAAGATCTTGTCCATGCATGTGATACAGAGGCATGTTCTCCATATCAAATTATAGGTTTTTCTACCAAGAAAAATTATAGGTTTATTATGGCTGTAAGGAATATATAATTAGGAAAGCCAATCGATATTACTAAATTATTTATCATTGAGCTCATATATTTACAGGTAGCCAAGATTGATGCAAAGCAGGAAACACCTGTTGATCATGGAGAACTGATATGTTTCAGTATTTATTCTGGGCCAGAGGTGGATTTTGGAAATGGGAAGTCTTGTATCTGGGTTGATGTCCTTGATGGTGGTGGTAGGGATATTTTGATGGAATTTGCTCCATTCTTTGAAGACCCTTCCATTAGAAAGGTAGGATATGGTTCTCTTGATATGCACTGATTGGGTATTGATTAATATGATCTAACATTTAATTATACTGTTAGTAGAATATGGGCTACTGGATATAACATAGTTTTATGAGTACATAACATTTCTTGGCCACACAAGTTGGGCCAGAGCAATTCAGTGTGGATCTAAGTTAGGAAATCCATTGGATCAATATGTCATAGGACATAATGTTCAAGTCTTGTATTCTTTTAGATGATGGGAATAAAAACGATTGGACATTATTTTATTTTATTTTTCTGTTTGTCTGTGTGGACAGCATGCACATACTTGTGTTACTGCTCAAAAAGATAGCATAGGTTGCATGTCCATTCCATATGAGGGTTGTTCTTTTAGATGAGGTGAACAGCTATTTCTGAAGAAAGAAAAAGCATAATTAGGACCATCTCATTTTCTTTTCACTGTGAAAGGAAGGTTATATTATGAGTGGCAAAAAAAAAAAAAAAAAAAAGAAAAAGAGAACAGAAAAGGTTGCATACTTTTCATGTATAGATATCCATATGTAGGAAGCATATCACTGACAATCTTACTCTTCCACTTCCGCATGGGAAGAAGATTTGTACATTTATTGTCAATAAGAATAGAGATCCATTTGATAAAAAAAAGAGATCCATACATTCACTTTTTTTAAGCTTGAAATGTTGGTCAACATGCTCTTTCACTAAGCTCATTTGCTCCTAGTCGACAAATATAAAATAGATAATAGTATGTTACCCCATTTTTGTAGGTATGGCATAACTATAGCTTTGATAGTCATGTTATAGAGAATTATGGGCTTAAGATATCAGGCTTTCATGCTGACACAATGCATATGGCACGTCTTTGGGATTCTTCAAGACGAAAAGAAGGTGGATACTCTCTTGAAGCACTTACGATGGACCCTAAAGTCATGTCTGAGGTTCAACAATGCACTAAAGGAGAACCAATTAAGAAAAAATGGTGCACTGAAGGAGAATTGATTGGTAAGATATCGATGAAGACAATATTTGGAAAGAAAAAGATAAAGAAAGATGGATCTGAAGGCAAGGTTGTCACAGTTCCCCCTGTTGAGGAACTTCAGAGGGAAGAAAGGATACCATGGATTTTTTATTCTACTTTAGATTCAATTAGCACTCTAAAGCTTTTTGAAAGCTTGAAAATAAAGCTAAAGAACATGGAATGGGTTCTTGATGGTGTTAAAAGAGGAACCATGTATGACTTCTATGAGGAATATTGGCGGCCATTTGGTGAGCTTTTAGTGAAAATGGAAACGGAGGGAATGCTGGTTGATCGGGCATATCTTGCAGAAATGGAAAAGGTGGCCACAGAAGAGCAACAAGTTGCTGCAAAAAGATTCTGCAAATGGGCATCTAGATATTGCTCTGATGCTATATACATGAATGTAGGAAGTGATGCACAACTACGTCAACTCTTCTTTGGTGGTACAGTTAACAGGTTTGCAATTTCTCTTTTTAGCTTCATTTTAAAAGGAAAATGTAAAGTCCAATTATCATTGTAAATTGCTATTATGATTGAATTTTGAAGAGATCTGGTTTGCATATAGGAAATTGGGCTGTTCTATTTGATAGGTGCCAAATGCATGATGCCTTATAATTAATAAAAAGGAAAATTCAAAAAAAAAAAAGAATATCATATGTGACTACAACCATGTTATCTCTTTGGAGACATCTGATAAAATTAGAATGAATATAGTCATGTTTTCTTATTGAAAAATGGAAGCAACATGGTGAAGGTGAAAGGTTTGTTAAGAGCTTGACCAACCCAGGGTGAATCAGATCATCTGGAGGGTCAAATAATATCATGTGACCACTTAAGTGGTCATGTGGAGGGTAATGGAGGGGTGGGTCTTCAAATCAAAATTTGAGGTTAAGGCATGTGATGTAGAATAGTTCTGGGTGAATGATAGATTGTAGTTGGGTATATCATCGTCTTTGATGGGGCTGAATGGAGGAAATGCAGGGCGTGAGAGAGAGAACAGGCTAGGGGTGAGCATTTGGCTTATTTAGTTAAAAACAAAACCGAATAAACCAAATTTTTAAAAACTGAATTAAAAAAAATGAAAACCGAACCGAAACCAAATTGTAAAAAAACAAAACTGAAAGTTTCGGTTTGGTTTTTGGTTAAAACCGAATTTCAATAATATACAATATATACTATATTATATGTATTATATATTATAATATATATATATTATGAAATCAAATTTCATTATATTATATAACAATATGTAAATATATTAAATATTAAATATTGCATGTTATATAGCAAAGTTCAGTTAATTCGTTTTTTTGCTTAACCGAATTTCTAATTCTAAAAGCCGAAACCTAAACCGAAGTATTAAAAAATCGAAATCACTGAACCAAATTAACCAAAAACCAAAATAACTGAACTGAAAAAACTGAAACTGAAATTTCTGGTTCAGTTTTAACCGAATAATGCTCACCCCTAGAACAAACCCTTAATGAAAATGACTGAGATTTCATCATAAGACAAGGACATATATACTTGGCATGTAACACAATATTTTTAGAAGGAGAAAGAGTCATCTCAAAAGGAAAGGCAAGAAGGAATTTATGTGGGTCAAGATGTGAATGTCTCAGATGCTCGACATAGTGAAGGGGTGAGTTTGTTCGTGGAAGGTATTAACGATAGGGAAACTCAAACGACAGATGGCAGTGGCAAGATAATGATGAATATAATTAATGAATTGAAGGAAGATTTAGAGAGCAATGCTCAGTTGCAGATTGTTGGAGAAGGTCAAAAAGAGGTTGAAAGGAATTGCAGTGGTGGGAAGTGAAGATGTATCGATTATGGTGGTGGAAGGCGGAGAGGGAGCTTTATGGAGAGTCCTAATCTAGATTAAGTATGGGGAGGACAAGCAGGGTTAGATCACCAATCCCATTGATCAGTCTTATGGTTCAAGCTGTTGAAAAGGAATTGTGAAAAACTTGGAGGTCTTCTCTCAATGGTCTTCCTTAAAGGTGGGAAGTGGGGAAAGAGTTTGATTTTGGAAGGATGTGTGGTGTTGCTTGACCCCACTGGCTGATTCTCTTTCACTCATCTTTGAATTGTCTTGTGACAAAGAAGCTACAGTGCGCAGTTACTATGATATCTTTTTTGATGAATAATAATAAGTTTATTGATTCATAAATAAATTAGAGTGAGTTCATACAACATCCCAACGAGAGGCGCGAGCTGCAGCCCCTCGAAACTTACAAGTAAACTAGGAAAGAAAAACAAGAATCACAACTGAGCCCAAAATAATTCTTCCCTATTTACCCCTTGCTTAGTTAACACATCTGACAAGGTATTTGCTGATCTCCCCACCCACTGTACAGTGACCAACATATTCCTTGTCAACCAACTAAATTTCTTCATTTCATTCTTGTATCGCCACATAGCCTCTTCAGAATTTTTTAACCAACCC